AAAGTTTTGTCAACAGAGTGTATGCTTCCAAGTAAATTGAAGAGCCATTTAGAAGCTAATTCGAAGAATACAAGATATGGGGGAAGATATCAACGATCAATTAATTGGAAAAATTGAAGGAGTGAAATTTGGATTGCAGATAGATAAAGCTACGGATAATAATAAGGATGCTCATTTGATATGCCATATACGGTTTATAGATTGTAATAATATTAAAGAAGACCTGTTTTGTAAAAATATCACTGCAGGAGCAAAGGCTTAGGACCTGTTCGAGATTCTTGATGCATTCATATGCAAAAATAATTTGAATTGGCCTAAATGCGTTGGTGTCTGTACTGATTGAGCTCGCTCCGTGTCTGGCTGCTATGGAGGATTACAGGCGCTTATTTGAAACAAATTACCAAATGCACTTTCGACCCATTGCATTATTCACAGAGAAGCGCTTGTTTGAAAGCATCTAAATTCTGCACTGAATCAAATGTTAGAATGTGTGGTTAATGTGGTTAATTTCCTAAAATATCGTCCATTGAAAGCAAGGTTTTAGAAAAACTGTGTGAGGATATGGGAACCGAACAGTCCTCTTTGTTGTACTATATCAGTGTACGATGGCTCTGTCGTGGTAATTTTTTATCACATACGGCAAGAAATTTTTAATTTCCTTAGAGAAGAAGGATACAAAGATGCAGAATATTTTGCTGATGCCGATTTTTCAATAAAACTGGCATATTTATGCGACATTTTCGAAAAGCTTAATTACCTTAATAGCTCTCTACAGGAAAAAAATGCACCTTTTGAAATCAACGGAAAAAATATCAGCTTTTATAAAAAAACTTAACCTAGGAATGAAAATAATGAAGATACAGACAAAGATTGTTTTTTTGAAGTTACAGCAATTTTTGACGTCAAATGAACATGATCTTTCTCGATATATCAAAACCATGCTTGAGAAGCACTTATCACAGCTAATTAACCGCTTTGTGAAATATTTTCAAAATGAAAATTTCGATAAGTTTTCATTGATTCAAGATCCATTTAACACTAGTGTTCCGTCTGAATTTACTTCTGCATAACAAGATAATCTTATCGAGTTATCTTGCGATAACAGTCTGAAAGCAAGATTTGGCAGAATGGAATTGACAGAATTTTGGATTTCAATAAAAGATGAATATCCCCTTCTAAGTTTTCGGCGGTCGCTGTAATAAAAAGCAAGTATAGAGCAATAATCAACGCGGAAAACAAAATGAGATGGCCGTATTCAGAATAATTTCAAGATTTGAGAAAATTTGCAGTGATTTGCAGGCTCATCCATCACATTAATTATTAAATATTAATTAAATGTCAATAAAGTAAAAATAATTATGAGGATACATAAGTTTTATTTATTTTTATCTCTTACTTACGAATAGTTATACCTAGGGTAGGGCCTAATGGAGAAATTTCAATTAAAAAAGAGCACTGCGACTAGTAAAAGTTTGGGAACCACTGTCTTAATCTATTTATTGCAATAGCGTCTCTTAGCCTGTTTATAACAGCAGACGTAGCCTATTCAGCAAACCTACTGATTTGAGACCATTTTGTCTCGTGTCCAGTCTCCGCCACGTGTTTGGATACTTACAACCCTAGAACCCAGCCTCCTTTACATGCATATTTTTATTCTTCCAATCTTTGTCGAATAGGCCGGCATGTCTTACAATCATAAGGCCGATCACAGGAGCAAATAACCTTAAATCAGCCTGATCTCAATAATGGGTCTTGAGATCTTGTTTATCTTTGACTAAATAGCCCCTGTCTGGAAATTTATTTTTCAGATAAGGCCAAAGGATAATTATTTTCTAGGAATACATTTGTCAGATAATAGATTAGTGAATACGTTGAATATGAGGAATAGGGGTATAAAATTGAGTAAGAAGCCACTGTCCAAAAGAAGACGACTCAATTTGTGAGCTAATTCGTGGTATAAGCAAGTTGGCACTCGTTCAACAAAAATGTCAATCTCATCAGCCAAAAAGGACGTGAGGAACTACGCAGTTCCAGCCAAGCTACTTCTTTGGTCATTAAACCTTAATTATCCAGACTAAAGGACTGGTGGTTTCGTAACCTGACTTTCACGCATACACAGTTGCATCTCATCACTTTAACCATGGTTACTTACGGACAACGCCAAAATGGATTTTCATACTAAATGAAAGCTTTCATGACTATCATACCTTAAGAAGTTATTTGACCTTGTTTTCGCAACTTGGTCATATTGATAGGAAGACTTAGAGGGACGCACCTAGCCTGGAAACCATAGTATGCATGATAATTTCTATGGAAATGCACCATGTTCACTGTCTGACCTTGGAAATTATTATGCATACTATAGACTGCAGACTAGGTGCGTTCCTCTAAGTCTTTCTACAAATATGACCAAGTTGCGAAAACAAGGTAAGACAACATCTATAAAACGAAAGTAGGCTGCGACCAAACAAAAGGCCATAACATCTTGGTCTTCATACCTTCAATCTTACC